AAACATTACTTTACTACGTATATATTCACTAATTTTTTTTATAAGCAAAAACTCTGAAGGCGTATATCATCAACAAACAGGTTTTCTCTTTTATGTGAACCATTGTTTATCTTTTGTTTGATACTTTTGTGAGAATAAACATCGCCATCCATGCACTTATTATGGAATATTATATTTTTTCAATGTCATTGCTGATTTTGAAATCTCAGAACTAAATCCAAAATGGAACTTGCTTCATGAATTCACAAATTAAATACGAACAGGAAATGAAATGCAACGAAAGATAATTTGTTCTTTGCTAAAAGGGAAGGGGTTTCTGTTCTAGTTTTGTTCATCATGAATAATAATAATAATAATAATAGTAAAAAATAATATGTCTGTATCTATAAACCATTTTTGTTGAAAACAAAAAAGTAAAAAATGCTATAACCTCGATCGCAAGCAGAAGAACCTATGAAGTTTCGTCATACTCATAATAACTAGAATACTTGAACTTGTGCCCTAAACTCAATAAGCTATAGTGATTTACTAAGCGAAGCTTCGATATGACACAAGGTTGAAAGTATGGGACACCTGGTGAGGAACGAACTCACTACTCAGTAGTAAAAACTCAAGAAGATATAGAACTGAATTGAAAATTTAAGGAAGGTTATAATGAGGAAAGTGCTGTAAATTTGAAAAGGTTGTTATCATTCAAACTCTACAACTACAAGACTCCGAGTGGGAAAATAGAAATGACTGAAATAATATCTATAATTATTATTAAAAAGAATATACATATAGAGAGACAGATATAGTGATTTTCCAAGCGTAGCTTAGATGTGGCACAAGGCCGAAAGTATGGGGCACCCAGTGAGGATCGAACTCACTCGTAATTGTTCTAGCCAGACAAGCTTGCTAACCATTATACCACCTCGAGGTTCCCAAGACAGATAGATATATGATGAATAAAATTTTTTAAAAATATCTTTTTTTTTCCTTTTTAAAACGAAGAAAACATTCTTGAGCATACAACAAACAACTGTCCATGCATAAATATTTCTTTCTGAAGCCAAATTCCAACTTTTGAAGCGTTTGGCCTTGTGATTTGTTCATAGTTCTCGCAAACGCAGGGCGAGCTGGAAACTGGATTCTTGTGTATATAAAAACTTAAAAGATATGCAAAAAACAATATTGCATTTTTATTAACTAAATTATTTTTATCATGAAATTGTTTTTCACATAGCGAGAGGGGAGTATTTTGTATGTTAAATAATAAAACTTTTAATTTTACAAAAGAAATGAATGAAAATTTATTGTACTAAGCTACGTACCCAAGTAAAACAAATCCCTTAACTGTTTGCACTTCCCGCCAAAATTTTGTTTCGATCGGACAATGTATGGCTATTTTAGAGGACGTACTAACAAAAGTCACAGAATTTTATATAGAGACAGATTCAGAATACAAAGAGGAGCTAATTAGTGACATGCACGTCTACCTTAATACAGTGGTATTATTTGCTTATATAAGGTGTTTAATTCGGCATTACGACCAGAAATAAACATTATTTTCTTTTAATTTTTCCCTATCCTTATAGATTAAGCACTCTAAATCAGAAATAATGAAAGAATTTTAATGAAAGAATTTTTTCATTAAATTTTATAAAAGTTAAAATGGTGGGTGGGGAAGATAGCCAAAATCAAACAAGTAAAACAATTTAAATACTTGGGAAATATTTTAACAGAGGACGTAAAGTATGATAGTGAAATCCGAAGGCGCATTGAGATAGCCAAAGATCCATTACAAATGCTAAGCAGAGTATTATGAAACAGAAGAAATTCGTTAAAAACAAAGTAAAGAATATTGAACTCATACGTAATATCAATCCTCCTGTATGGCAGTCAATGCTGAACAATATCCTCACAGAGGAAGTAGAGCCTTAAAGCAACAGAAATGTTGCTCTACAGAAGGATACTGGGGATTGCCTTACTAATTAATACATTGCTGGAAGGGGGAGAAATATGACTTTTCTAAGAGTATTAGCGCGAAATAATCACAAGATTCTCGTCGGGATTTGAACATCGGCCTATCGATTCAATTTTCAATACCAGTAGCTTTTACGCCAGCTCCACATCCGTCTCAGTTTGATTTTTAAAAAATGAAAATAAATGTATTGTGTATATATATTTACTTCCGACAGAAGGTAGTTGTTGTGACCAAGTAAATGGTTAAGAAATAACAAAGCCAGTGTTGCAGATATATCATATATTAAACAGTAAGTACAACAGAAGAGTATTACACGACTAGTGAGTGTATGTCGGTTGACCCAGCGTTCAATCTATTCGACTGTTAATACTTGACAGCCCCCCCCCGGCACGAGTGATGTATGTGGCACAAGGCCGAGTTTACCGTGGGTTCTCCGAGCCTGTAGGCTCGGCCAAAAATATTCCCTTAGAACCCGTATAAACGGGTTCAGGGCCTGTCTAGCTTTGTCCGGGTTCCTCTCTGCTCGAGGCAGAGAGTTTGACAGATGAACAATCTATCCGACTGTTAATATTTAACAGCACCCCCCGACTCCCACGAGGGATGTATGTGGCACAAGGCCGAGTTCAGCGTGGTTCTCCGAGAGCGTAGGCTCGGTCAAAAATATTCTTAGAAGCCGCCTAAACGGGTTCAGAGCCTGTCTAACTCCCCGGACGAAACTTTGCCCTTCGGCAAAGCCTCGTCCGGGTTCCTCTCTGCTCAAGACAGATTTCGAGAGTTGAACAAGCTATGGCACTGTTAATATTTAACAGCCCCCACCAAGGGATGTCTGTGGTACAAGGCCGAGTTTACTGTGGGTTCTCCGAGCCCGTAGGTTCGTCCAAAAATATTACCGTATAATCCGCATCGTCCGGGCCTGTCTACCTCCCCGGACGAAACTTTGCACTTCGGCAAAGCCTCGTCCGGGTTAATCTCTGCCGAAACAGAGAGTTCGATAGATACGAACAATCTAGGTGACTGTTAATATTTAACAACCCCACCACGTGGGTGTATGTGGCACAAGGTCGGTTTATTGTGGGTATTCCGAACCCGTAGGCTCGGCCAAAAATATCCCCTTTGAACCCGCCTAAACGCTCTACCTCCCCGGACGAAACTTTGCTCTGCGGCAAAGCTTCGTCCGAGTTCCTCTCTGCCGAGGCAAAGAGTTTGACAGTTGAATAACCTATGCGACTGTTCCCACTAGGCTTTCTCTCTTACTAATCTTATAGTAGACAGAAGAGTCCAACATAGACTCTTTAGAGGGAGGACACCACGACAGTATTGAAGGAAAGCGAAAAGAGAGGGTTAAACATCATATGCAAGAAGATTTCTATCTTCTTGCATTTGATGTTTAACCCTTGCATGGTTGTTAGCAAAATGGATGAGCTCAAAGTGCGAATTGCAAATCGGGGATATCAAAATCAAACAAATACAGAAATTTAAATATCTGGGAAGTGTTTTAACAGAGGACGGATAGTGTGAAACTGAAATCCATAGGTGTGTTGGGATTGCTAATGATGCCTTCCAAAAGCTAAGCAGAGTACTAAGAAATTGAAAAACTTCGCTAGAAACAAGGAAAAGTCTACTAAATTGTTACGTGATATCTGCCCTCTCGTATGGCGATGAACGCTGAATAATCTCCTCACAGGGAAAGGAAAGACTTGGAACAACAGAAATGTGGTTCTACAGAAGGATGCTGAGGATGCCATGAACCGAACATGTGAGCAACGACGAAGTTTTAGAAAACATGTCAACAAAAACGAAACATCAGAAAGAAACAGTAGATATTTCTGCGGGACACAATGAGGAAAAAGGGCTTGGCAAATCTGATACTCACGAGACAGATAGAGGGCAAGAGGTACAGAAGGAAACAATGCATAACATTCTTAGTGAGCTTGAGTAAATGGATGGCGGAACAAAGTTTAGGAGAAATAACAGAAAGCTAAAGTTTATTAAGAGCTACAAGGGACAGGAAGTTGTGGAGAACCATGATCGCCCTGAGGAGACAAGGTACATAAAGAAGAAGATATAGCATAGAGCTGAAGCAACCAGTAGGAATCTAACTTACTAGTTATGACTTTCAAAACTAAGCAACTGTCACCTACCTGAACCAATCTTACTAAAAAAACACATTCTTCAGAACACATCCTTCAGAACACATTTTCAGAATACACCTTGTGAACACATCTTTCAGATCACACCTTGTGAACACATCTTTCAGATCACACCTTGTGAACACATCTTTCAGAACAAATCTTGTGAACACATCTTTCAGAACACATCTTTCAGAACACATCTTGTGAACACATCTTTCAGAACACATCTTGTGAACACATCTTTCAGAAACATGGTATTGAATCATCCCTCTTCCAGTGATGGAAATTGTCCAAAAGCGTGGTCTTTAACAAGAGATTTTTTTATTTAGATCCATCGGCATACTGCAACGTTATTTTAATGTGGAGGTATTGCCTAGTATACCGATCTTCCGGAACCATTTTCGCTTCATTCGTGTCGAGAGGTGATAAGATTATGCCGGCTTGGTAATAAGGGCTCTTCGACACGGTGTAATGGTTAGTAAGCCTCTCTTGCTAGATCAGTTGCGACTGAGTGCCCCATAATTTCGGCCTTGTGTACCATCGAAGTATACGCTTAGAAAACTACCACAAACGGGACACTTCAACGTGGTGTAATAGGAAGGTTATCTCACTAGGTCAGTTACGACTGAATAGTGCGTTCGATCCTCACCAGGTGCCTCATACGTTCGGCCATGTGCCACAAGTAAGCTACGCTTAGTAAATCACTAGGGCACTTCGTCGCGATATAAATGTTTGAACCCTTGTCTCGCTAGATCAATTACGTCTTAGTAATGAGTCCAATACTCACTGGGTGCCCCATAACCTACGCTTAGAAGATAATTTGGGTATTTCGACGTGGTGTAATGGTTTGTACTCTTGTCTTGCTAGATCAATTATAACTGAAAAGTGAGTTCGATGCTCACTTAGATAGATAGATAGATAGATAGATAGATAGATAGATAGGCTAAATAGGTAGGAAGGTGTGATAGCATCTATGACCAGATTAAGAGAGAGTGGTAAAAATAGAGCGGAAGAGATAAAGAGAATCTTATTTTTCAATTTATGGATTTTCGTTTCGAATGTTGCTAATTTCATTCTTATGATTTCAAATTGAAATTTCTTTCAAATTCCATTTAATCCGATTCTTTGCGAATCGATGCAAAATTCAACTGTGAATTCCTATTGATCGCTTCTCTTAGAATGGTTCGCTGAAATATCCAAATGTTTGCTTTATTTTGAAACGTTTCAAGTTCCAAATTATTTGTATTGTCTGTATGATGAAGGTACCACTTAATGGTGTTATTTTTTTCCAAATTTCTCACACCCAAGACGTTCAATTCATTTTCTTTCCGGCGACTTCTTCGATATTGTTATTTCGAAAAAATATCTGAAAGAAAAATTTGCAGAAACCCGAAAAAAAAGACACCTTTAAATGATTCCAGAAATGATAGCTCGAATCAAAAATATTTTTTTTTGACAAGATCAACATTTATTTTATGAGAAATTAAAATCTATGAAATGTTTAATTATATGGAATTAGAATATAAATAGAATATACGTCTTTGTAACTACCTACCTACCTGCAGTATACGTAATGTTTCCTCCTCTTCTCTTAAACACAGTTATCCCGTTGTTGCCAGTTGCTCTACTCTCCACAGATTCTTATCTGATTCGAAAAAATATTTTAAAAAGTTTTCAGTAATCTTTCGCCAGAAAACATCTCTCAAATAAATCATTCTTTTTATTCTTTCTTCGTGTTTTTTTATCTTACATAATCATGACGGGATATGAGGATAGAAAAAATTAAGCTAATCCATTAGGTAGTGACTAAAGGGCGAGAATTTATGTGTCCCATCTTTTTGCAAAACCAGTTATTGCGATTTAAATTGAGAAGAGACATTATTTTCAGAAAGAATGTAACCTTTACAGAAGTTGATGAAAATTTTATAAAAATGATATTTCCGCGTTCAGCTAGTGTAAATTAGTAAAAGCATAAGACAAAAACTACAATTTTTTGTATTTTTTTTTTTTTTAAGCATTTCACCCCAAGCAAGGCGGAAAGTCACTAGAACGCAAGGGGTTACAGAAAATTTAGAGCAAGATCAGATAGGAGTGATAGAAGAAAGAATGAGGGTAGTGGATAGATCAAGGCAACTGGAGATGTCGATTGACATTACACTTGAATAGCTGGAATAGGGAAGGGAGTTCCACGGGCGAGAGGTGCGAGAAATGAAGCTATTAGAGTAGAAGAGACGGCTACATTTAGGAGTTTCCACAGTGAAGGGGTGAGAGCGGGATGCCAGCCTCGTATGGCGCTTGAACTCATGACGTCTGGGAACCAGCGAATGCAGCTCCTCGGAGCAATTGCCATGAAAGTATTTGTAGAACAGGCAGAGGGAGGCGACGGCGCGTACGAGTGACAGTTTAGACAAGAGATGTTTGAAAATATAGATCTTAATAGGAAATCGGTACCGCTTCTATACCCCAACGAGGCACACCAGCAGTTAGTGCATGTGAACATAGATAGATAGATAGATAGATAGATAGATAGATAGATAGATAGATAGATAGATAATGACAAAAGATGGGTTATAGATAGGAAAAAAGGACGTATAGATGACCAGATAGATAGATAGATAGATAGATAGATAGATAGATAGATAGATAGATAGATAGATAGATAGATTTTTTTAATCATTTCAACCCAAGCAAGGCAATTAAACCACTAGGATGCAAGAGGTTACTGAGTGTTAGAGAATATGAGAAGAAAACACTATTAAGGAGAGGAGACAATAAAAGAATAAGAATTAAGGACACAGAAGATAACGATTGACATTGCATTTAAATTTTTAAACATCAAGGTTGACTGGGAAGCAAGAAGCCGAAAGAGAGTTCCACAAGCGAGAGGAGAAACTGTTAGCATAGAACTTACGGTTACATTACGACATTTCGACTGTAAAAGGATGAAACCTTGCTGACAATCTAGTACTGGACATAAATTCATAAAGTCTATGTACCATAGTGGAAAGTGCATCTGAACAATTACCATGAAAATATTGATAGAAAAGGAAGAGGAAAGCTACATGACAGCGGTTTGAAAGAGACTAAAGCCGAAATGCCATGTCAGGACCAATAATATTGCTGATTTTTCTCTGAATTTTATCAAGAATATCTAAATACATAGTAGGAACACCAGACCATATGTGGCAGCAATATTCAAAGTAAGGACGAATGGAAGACTTATAAAATTTATAAGATAAATTCTGGCGAGAAAAATGGCCAAACACGACATAGTGAACTGCCTTTTTTAGCTGCAGACGAATAAGTTAATTTAATATACTCTTTCCATTTCATGTCAGCTGAAACATGTTAGTTGTTTAACCCTAAGGGTTAGCATCAGCCATATGCTGATGGAAGGTAAAAATGGGTACACTCAGATGATCAAATGATAACAGTTTCGTTTTTGAAGCGTTAAAACTAACAAGCCGCTCCTTGTCCCATTCAACAACAGATTGTAGGTCATTTTTAGATCAGCTGCCAATTTAAATATTACGTTGAAAACTTTTACATGAACAACTTGGTAAAGAATTAACCATCAGTTGTAAAAAAGAAAATAAATAAATAGAAATAATGTTATTAGCAAAAGGGACAGTTCAAGATGTGAGCTACAAATTGGAGTCGTGAAAACCAAACAAGTTCAGAGATTTAACTATCTGGGAAATGCTTTAACAGATTGAGGAAAATGTGCCACAAAATTTTAAAGTTCATTGGAATAGTGAAAGATGCCTTCTAAAAGCTAAACAAAGTATTAGAGAGACAAGACACTTTCTCTACAAAGAAAGTTGTACTGTTATGTAATTTCAATGCTCCTATATATATATTTAAACAAGTTCACCCCAAGCAAGGCATTAAACCCACTGAGACACAAGAGGTTATCGGGTGTGGAAGAATTAGAAAACAGAAACATCACTAAGTAGCGAAAACAGAAGAACAGTAATCAGGAGGACAAAAGATAGCGATTAACATTGCATTTCAATTTTTGAAGATTAAATTTGACGAGAAAGCATAGAGCCGGAAGGCAGCTCCACCAGCGGGAAATGTGAGAAAAGAAACTATTAGCATAGAAGAGTTCACAGATAAAAATGTGATTTAAAGCAACAAAGTTGCCGTGCTACAGTAGGATGATGAGAATACCATGAAAAGGAACTGTGAGCAACTTGAAAATATTAAGGAAATGGGAAAAAAGCAATTCTATTAAAAAAAAAGAGACCGCTAAAACTTCTAGGACACATAATGAGAAAAGAAGGCTTTGAAAATTTAACACTCACAAGTAATACATGGACTGGGAAGGACATTAAGAGAACAAATATTACTTAGAGCTACAAAGGATAAGGAACTTCTTCTATGAGCCGTGTGCCTTTTGCGACCGTGGCTCTCCACAATTTCCTGTCTTTTGTAGCTCTTAGTAAAGATTTCTTTTTGCTATCTCTCCTAATCCTTGTTCTATCAACCATTTACACAAGATCGTTATGTAGGTTTATACACTGCTTTCCTCTATTCATCTAACCATCAATAAATCTCGTGAGTGTCAAATTTTCTAAGCCCCCTTTCCTCATTATGTGCCTTAGAAATTTGAACTGTCTCTTTGTGATGCTAAATATAAGTATTCTTTTTCTTTCCATTTTCGTTAAAACTTTGTCGTTACTCACATTTTCAGTCCATAGTATTCTCAGCATCTTTCTGTAGAACCCCATTTCTAGTCCCTCAGTTATTTTATTTATCCTCGAAGAGATTGTCCAGCACTCACTGCCATATAGGAAGACATAACGGTTCGACACTCTTTTCTTTGTTTCTAGCGAAATTTTCCTGTTTCTTAATATTTTGCTTAGCTTTTGGAAGATATCTTTCGCTGTCCCAATGTACTTTATTACAAAATATATTTAAAGACTCACATGGGAAAACCTAGAAGAAAATAATTTCATATGTGCCCCACTATTTTTTATAGGATAATTATTCATATAAGATTCTATTGACCATAAAGAGGACATTTCTGTTGTTATTAGATAACAAAATCTTGATCCCCCCGAAACGTCGTGAATGTGATACTAAATATAAGGACAACAGTCCGAACAATGTAAATTAACTAGCTAAAAAATCGATGATTCTTTTATTAAAAAATGTTGTCACTCTTACAACAAAATAATATGAATAAACATCGAAATAATAACAAAATTAACACATTTTTGTTTGGTTATTACATATTACTTACAATCGTCTGTCTCAGAGATATATACATAAAAGACTTTACAAAGACAAGCTTCTTTTCAGTGCATTTATAAGGACTTCGCCAAGCCTATTTCAAAAAATGAATTGCCAGTTTCATCTTACCATTAAGACAATTTATTGAACTTCTTGGTTTGATTTTTTTTTCGTTTAGTATCGCGAGAAAGTTAGTACGAATCATTTGAGAGAAGACATTTGTTACGTAATTTTTTAAGTTGTAAGAAACGTCACCATCTTTTGACCGTAGTTCGTAGTATTTGGTGTCTATTGACTCTACCAACGAGTCTGTCTCATGCAAAAGAATTTGATATATGTTTTATACAATGCTTTTCTTTCTATGACGCGATCGTTCCTGAAGGGAGTTCCATATCCGACCAATAAGTATTTTCTCAGTCTGTTTTCCTCTCAAGACTTAATGACGCAATTCTTTAAGGCGCCCAAAACGAAACCAAGTTTATTGTTTCTCTTTAATTGGGACTAGATCCAATTGTCTTGCGGCGAGCGATTCTCATGAAACAAATCGATGCGATGACGATTAGGTTTGGAAATTGAGTTCCTCAAGTGACCGATTCCTTCAGTTCTTCGTTTCAACCAATCAAAAACCAACATCAATCAGATTACTCTGTCATTTCATCCTTTATTTCATCTTTCGTTTCTTTTCTGTCTTCTACTTATGGCTTCTTTTTACCATTCTACCATTCACATCTTCGTGTTTTTCTTACTGTCTTTCCGTCTTACATCGTTCCATTCGTTTCACCTCCGTCTCTCCTTCTTTCTTCATCCCATTCATTTTATTTCATCTTTCTCTTTTTTTGTTGTCTTTTCGTTTTTTTTTTAGTTTTTTTTCTCATTTGTTTCTTTTCACCATTGTTTGTTTTTTATTATTTTGATTTCCCTTTGTGTCTTTCTTTCTTTCTTTCTTTTTTTAGGCGTTTTTATTATTTGTTCATTCTCTCATCTTTTCCCACAAAATTATTCTTCGCAAAGTTTTCAACACTATTTCACTATTGCTCATTCAGTTCAAATGTAACAGAAGACTGACCTCTGTTAAACAATTAATTGGATGAAATTAAATGATTCTGATTTGGAGGGACTATTAATTGTATAATAATTATTCAAATTCTCAGGAGATTACGTTGAATGGTTGAGAAGAAAATTAAAAAAGAAACGTGTTAAAATTTGTTTTAAAATAATAAAATGAATTTAAGAACAATACCAAGGAGAATCGAACCAAAAATTAATTAGGCAAGATTCAATAAAATTGTGCAAAACCAAAGTTTCCAAACTGTCAACATCCCACTTATAATAAGAAGACATTATTAATGTGTTGTCCGAATTTTTTCAATCCTAAAAAATTATATTCGAAAGATGTTTACATTATACTATATGTCCAAAACGTGTGTTATTACAGATTATTCTAGACAAAGAAGAATTTTTAAATTAAATTTGAAGCTTTCTTTACATTATGCTATCTGTCCAAAACGTGTGTAGTCACAGAAAAGAATGAACCAAATTATATTATTATTTTGTTAATCCTTACGATTGGGATTTGTCTGTGTTGATCGCCTAAAAACACAGTTACGTTTACAGAAAGATATCTAAGGCGATTGTAAACAAAGAGAGAACCATATGGTTAATTGGCAAGATCACCTAAGATTAAGATTATTGGGATGGAGAAATTAGATATATCAATGTCAAATTGGTGATCGTCTATATAAGTAAGCTCTCCATTCACACAGAGACAGTCGGGGAAGTCGGCTCGGAGCGCCCCGGGTTTGCTCGTAACACAGTCCTCACTAACGATCACACTCGCAAATATCCGGACCAGAGTGAAAACCCAGACACATATATGACAGAAGAATTTAATGAGAATCGACGTGTTGTTTATTAAATTGAAGAATTGAGGAAGAGTCCTGGCTGGTTATTACTTTAGAGATTGTGACTAAATTTCCCAAATCACCACCCTGCACTAGAGGATTTGATTTTGCAGTAGATAATAGAGACATTTTATTAAAAATTTTCTTTGTTGTTAGAGTTATCAACAGCGTTCTGTATTTTACTGAAGGACTTCTTCTTCCAGCCTAATACCGACGGGCGCTTAGATCCAAAGAGACAAAATTTACGACGGCTACAAACAGGAATTACGCAATTTGTCTTGTACACAGTGTACACAGAGAGGTCAACATTAGACTTCGCTGTCGATCCCCAATATCTTAAGATTTTGGGAAACTTGAATTAACCATATCAAGACGACACACCTGCCACAGCCGAGAAAAGAAAAGAACGCCGGTTGACTTGTAAGGCTGGTATTACTCAACAAATGTAGCGACTAAATGAGAGGAAACAGAAGAGAGAAGAGACAGGGAAAGTGTGAGTTGAAAGCCTGATCTATGGTTAGACAAATATGATTTCTCTCACTTTATAATATATATATATATATATATATAATTATTTTTTAAAAAATGATTCCTTCGCTACATAAGTGTTCTCATGTTTCAAAAGCAAGAGCCAAAAACCTCAATATAATTATTGAAATTAAATTGAATTAAAGTATCAAGCCCTGTTTCATCCTCAAGCGAAAATTTAGGAATAACCAATCTTGAAATTTACGCATCTTTATAAGCATGTTCATTTGCAAAATTCAGTACTATGGAAACGACATAATTATAGCTCTACTTCTGTATAGAGCACTGTTTTTTTTTTTTTAAATAAAAACAAAAATACTAAAGAAACCCGGATTATTTACCTAACGTGTTCTTTCCTATTTTTCTACATATTTGCACACACACACACACACACCACACGCGCACACACACACACACACATATATATATATATATATATATATAGGTGTTTCCCCAAAAACCAACACATAATGTCTAACAAGCATTTTAAAGGTGAAAAATTGTTTATGAAACTATTATTTTAGTTTTAATTGCAAGCTAATAAATTAAATTTTATATTTCCAACAAGAAAATTTTTTTTTAAATAGATTGGATGATTTTTAAATCGCTAAAATCGGCTATATTGATAAGCCTAGCATAATACACTTTCTGAAAAAAATGTTTCAAAATTAAAATATATTTTCTGAAACTTTATTTGAGGAAGATTAACTGATTTAAAGTTTAATTATTCTGATTTGAAACAAATATTATTTACTTTTAGTTTAAAATATCTCAGAAAAGCACTTTTTAAAAAAAAAAAAAACGGTGATTGGTGCTTTTTTGAGATGTTGACACATTTATTGATAACCTGACAAGTGCGAGATTTCATTAATGGCAATATATATATATATATATATATATATATATATATATATATATATATATATATCCGTATGTGTGTGTTTGTGACAGTGGACATTGAAGTCAATACCCAGAGGCGACAGTCCATTTCATGCTAAAGACAATCGTCAACCCATGTCCTGATGATTGCGTTTAGCATGAAACAGACTGTTGCTTTTATGTGTTGACTTAAATGTTCCTTTGTATATTTACATACGTTTTATCCCTAATATTAAAAATTAACCACTTTGACCCATAAATATAAATATTTATATATATATATATATATATATATATATATATATATATATAATAAATATTAGTTTTACAGATACACACACACAGATAGATAGATAGATAGATAGATAGATAGATAGATAGATAGATAGATAGATAAAGAATAAAAGATAGTAGATATGAATAGACTGAGATAGATAGATAGATAGATAGATAGATAGATAGATAGATAGATATCAATAGACTGAGATAGATAGATAGATAGATAGATAGATATGAATAGATAGATAGATAGATAGATAGATAGATAGATAGATAGATAGATAGATAGAGTTGTGAACAGAATTTTTCACCCCTCTTCTATAATTACATATAATGCTATAATGCCTCAAATTATCATGGAAATTTCATGTGCATTTGCTACAAATGATGAATTAATGGATGTGAAAAAATGTGCAATGAATTCCCACAACAATGTTTTTAATTTAATGTAAAAAAATAATAATAAAAATACACACAAAAACATTTAACTCAAGACAAAATTATTGGTCCTCTTTCCTAAATAATGAATTATGTAACCTTTATTCTTGATTATTGCCTTTAACCATTCTTGATAGTTCCTTACAAGAACACTAAAAAGACTAATAGGTATTTTGCTCCATTCTTTTTTTCGCAATTGCTTCTAGTTACTCCAAATTTGAAGAACATATTTCTCTTAGTTTTTTCTTCAAATAGGCCCATAAATTTTCAATGGGTTTAGGTCAGGATTTTGTGGGGGTATGCCAATACCATAATTTTACTGTTATCTAAATATTTTGTAACAATTCGTGCCATGTATTTCGGGTCATTATCATGGTGGAATGTCCAGTGACACCGTGAATATTCGTCATATATATATATATATATATATATATATATATATATATATATATATATATATATATATATATAGGATGAAAAGCAGCTTTCGTGTACTTTGTATATTATTTTAAAGAATAGCCAAATACTGCTCTTTACCTATGATACCCTATACTCTAACTAGTTATCCTAAACCAGAGGCAGGAAAACATCCACAGACCATAATGCTCCCACCAACTTAACTGCAATTAGGATATAAAAAGCAATAAATCAAAGTTTTGGAAATTTTAACGTATTCCTTTCTTAAAACTGACCCGACCAATAGCTGAATGCGCTCAAACAAACATACACGGATTCAGTGGGCACAAACAAAACATTCTTTACTACTTTGAAAGTAAATTAAACAATATCAATAAACATTTATCAAAAAAATAAGAATAACAATTTTGTGTATGATCTTTAATTAAACATGGGTAATTGGACATCTGACTTCAGAATGTACATAAATGTAATCAAAATTAATAAAACAGAGTGATGTCGCCAACATGCATATCGCCTTTATTTAGTCTCATATAAGCGGATATGTCAGGTACTATTTTGCATGGCGCCATTTTGTTTTTACTGCACAGTTTAAGGTATGTCTTTAAGCTTGGAACCGACTTTAGTACCCAGTAATTAAATGGTTGATTGTTTTCGACGGTTTACAGCTGTATGCAGATTATTTAAAGCCAGAAAATATTTTTATATTGTCAGATTTTTCTCTTTTTGGGGGGAGATAATAATGATTTAGTGATACAAGTCTTACTAATTAACCCATAGCTGAGGAGAGAAGAGTCAGATTCATACCTTTCCGAAGGGTATTTGCGCATACGTAAATATAACGAACCCAACGGGAATTGGAACTCCACCCATACATCCATGCTTACAGCACCTGGTATTCCCAAACGGTCAACCATCTAGGTACTGACCAAGCTCAACGTTGCTTAACTTCGGTGATTGTACGGGAACCGATGTTTCAACATGATATGGCCGTAAGCCACCATGAATTAAAAGTGAGAGCAGCCAACAATGACCGGAATGGCCTTCCCTCAAGTATGGAATAGCAACAACGTCCGAATAGACCCTGCCACCCAGATTTTGTTCAAAGACGGAATTTTTTTTTCACATTAGCTAAAAACCTCATGAAAGAGTAGAATGGACATACAATAATTTAATACATGAAGAAACATTTAGGAACTTTTCGAATCAGTGTTATTTAGTGTTCAATCTGAAGGATTTTCAGGGTCAGCTAATACTAACCCTAAGGTAGGTAATTAACGTGATCGTGGCCGTCAATAAGTGGGTGATAGGACAAATTGAAAAGAAGAATTTGTTCGTTTGGTACTGCTTTTAGCCGTCAACCCATTTTAGTTAGATTATCGGCACAGATAGCAATTGAATCTAGAGTAGACAGGGCAGTCGAATAGGTAGATGTAAGCGAAGGAATTGAAACGAATTGAGCCAGTTCTGCCTAAGCTATAGTTATTAGCTCAGGTAGAACTGGCTCAAATCCTTAACAAGAAGGATCAATCTCTATGATTTAAAACTAGGTTGAAATCATATCTGCAGAGTCAACGAATCTGGCTGCAGAATTGCGAGTAAAACTACAAATCGACATATTGCACTTACGGATCGACATACAAAAATAGAAAAGGGCTTAAGGCAAGGTTGCGTCTTCTCACCGGACTTATTCAACGTATACAGCGTGGCAATTCTGAGAGAACTGGAAATCTTAGCAGAATTCATCATTGGCGATAACAATCTTAGCAGAATAAGATACGCAGATGACACAGTGCTGATAGCAGACACGGAAAGGAAACTACAAAACCTCCAGCAAAAGGTAGCGAAGGAGAGCGAGAAGAAGCATAAACTACAAGAAGACAGAATTCATGGTCATCAGCAAAAAGATGAGCCCGAAATGCAAGTTACAGGTCAGGGACACTAAAATCAAGCAGGTGCGAAATTTAAATATCTGGGAAGTGTTCTGACAGAGGACGGTAAGTGCGACGCTGAGATCTGAAGACGTATTGAGATAGCCAAAGACGCATTCCAAAAGCTAGGCAGGAGGATTACGAGACAGGAGGATTTCGTTGATAACCAAAAAAAATGGTTCTCAGCTACTACATGTTATCTGTCTTCCTTTACGGCAACGAATGTTGGACTGTCTCAAAGATGAAAAAGAGACTCGAGGTAACAGAGGTATGATTCTACATAAGGATGTTAAGGATACCATGGACCGAAGATGTGAGCAACGATGAGGTTTTAGAGTGGATGCAAACAAAGAGGAAACTTATACTTAACATCAGAAAGAGGCAGCTGAAATTTCTGGGACACGTAACGAGAAAGGAGCGCTTGGAAAATCTGATACTCACAGGGCGGATAAAGAGAAAGAGGAACAAGGGAAAGCAACGCGTGACATAGCGGGCTTAAGCAAATGGATAGCAGAACAGGGTCTGGGAGAAGTAGCAAAAAGGCAAAGCTTATTGAGAGCTACAAGGGGTAGGAGGAAATGGAGAGCGATGATCGCCTACGCCCTAAAGATCACCAAATTGAAGACTTTTAACGACAAATGAAGGCAGGCTTGAGGAATTTAATGACTACTAAAAGAAGTAGACTCTGCTCAATTCCAGGCCTATTTAACTGACTTTTTTTCTTTTCTTTTCTTTTTCTTTGAGGCGATTGTAGCATTTGTAGCGATATTAGTCAGCTGATATCTTATTAAATGGAAAAACCTGTTACAAAAATGGATTCGGGTATTTATTTTCAAAGATGGTTATCAACTGAGTAAAGGGGACTTCACAAGTCCATAGCTAGTGACTGGGACAAAGAGGGTCATTGAATGAAGGTAAATTACATTTTCTTATCAAATTGAGGACGTACTGGTGGTACTTATGTCACTAGACCGACCTCTTTGAGTATGTAACTTAACCAGGAGTGTTGATCCAATTGTAGCAACCAAATATATTTCTACAGAAAACTCACGACCCTGCTTCGCTTAGTTTGTCCTCCATTTTTATGCTGATCTATGTTTCTGTTTCATTATTTACTTCATCTGATAATCCGATTTCTTGATCTATCACATCAATAATATTTTCCAAGCGTGAATTTCCTTTCGTCAAACACAAGCTCCCACCCCAGTCAGCAATGGCATCGTCTGAGACAGATTAGGAAAAATCGTTTCCGCCTCTCATTTCATTTTCGTTTTTTTTTCCGCTTTTTTTTTCATTCTTTGCTTGAATTTTGGGAAAGTTAATGCAACGAATTTAAATTTGTAAAAAAAATATCTTTTATTTTTCTTATTTTCCAGTTTCTTCACTTCTTTTCTTTGCCTCACTCAGATTTTAGAAGAACCTATTATTCAATCATTTGTTTATGATTCATCCCTTCAACAATTTGGCCGCTTACTCTACAATGATCCTTGTCCCACCCGAAGGATCCATGTTCACTCCATTCCGCGCAAGTCTTCATCTGTTTTCTCATTTTTAATGGTTCTTCTTCAACTTATTCCAACAAAATCCAGTCTCCACCCCATTGTTACGATTTACGACATCCCCACTGTTGCAAATTCATTCATTCAAATTCTCCAAATAAAATTATTCCGTCTTCATGAAATAAGTGTCCGTCTATCAAGAAATCAATTTGCAAAACAAGCCGCAATCAAGCTTTGATCTTTTAAATATGCAGACAAGGCCTGTCAAGTGTTCCATTTGAGAACACTCAGATCTGTCAAGTGTTCCATTTGAAGACGTTTGGATTTGTTAACTGTTTTATTAGAGGATATATATATATATGTGTGTGTGTGTGTGTGTGTTATCACATTTTTCAGGATTCAATAAATCCTAGGTTTCCAATAAATTCTATATAGAAATATAGAAAGACTAGTTTCACTGATGTTTGGTAGCAGTGGCAAGCTTCAATTAGTTATGACTCATATAGATTTCAGTGTGACTGGTATTATATTCATACGAAGCCGATATAATCATAAATCCAGGTCACATATCTTCCAATGATATTTTTTTTTCTTTGCTATTAGACTCGTAGCGTATAAACTGCCAAGGGAGGGAGGCCATTGCCGGTTCTACTCGATAGATTTATTGAAAATTTTAGGAATATATTGACAACGAGTAAATAGTGTGGCAGGACGGAGTTGAAGATCAACTGCTCTTTTTATTGATTGTATGGAAAATGTGTTGACTTTAGATGGATCGTTTCAACGCACTGATTCTTTACCCGGCAGCGTTCACTTGATTCTCAAGCAAATCGTTTCCGCCATCTTACAATCATGTTTACACGAGTTTGACACTTTGGCTCAAAATAGGGACGAATTGAATGCCTAGCTTTTATTTATACACTCAAGGAAGAAATCTTTTCAACAAATCGAGGTTTGATTACTGAGACTTTGAATAATATTTAAGTCATTCTGGCTGTTAGTGGCATTTCATCCTCATGAAGATCATCATCGCAACTATCAGTACTAACAATATCATCAGCATCATCAATATTATCCCCGTTATAAGCAATACCATCATTACCCTCATCAATAGAAACACATCTTCAGCATCATCATAACCATCTTCAATATCATCACCATCATTATCAATACCATCAACATCATCTTTAATAGCAACACACCACCACCATCTTCATTAGTACCACAAGCATCATAACAATCAACATCATCATCACCATCATCATCAACCCCATCACCATTATCGCAATAAATAACATCAACATCACCATCATCAATAATATGTTACCATCATTAACACAGCATCATCATCATCATCGTCATCATCATCATCATCATAACCATCATCAATACTATTGCCATAATTGCAATCAGCAATAATATCCTCATCGCTATCATCAATAATATCATCACCATCATCATCAATACCATCACCATTATCGCAATAAATAACATCATCATCAGCATCATCAATAATATGTTACCATCATTAACACAGCATCATCATCATCATAACCATCATCAATTTCATCACCATAATTGCAATCAGCAATGCTATCCTCATCACCATCATCACCAATACCATCGCTTTTACCGCAATTGTCAATACCATAATTATCAATACTATGTTACTAATATTAATACTATATCACCATCGATACTATCACTATCATCGCAATTTTTAATACGATCATCATCGCCATCATCAATAAAATAACCATAATTGCAATCATCAATATCATAAACCAGCTTAATCAATAGCATCATCGCCGTCGTCAATACTGTCACCATAGCAATCATCAATATTATCGCCATCATCATCAATACCATCACAATCATAGAAATAATCAATAACATTATCATCATGATCATTACCATTATCAGTATCATCATCACTATTAACATTGCCTTCACTATTATTATTAATGAAATGGCAGAAAAAGTAAGGAAAACCTCCAATAGAACAAAAAAAATTAATGGGAGAATAAACAGCATAAAACATGAATTGTGGTAAAAAGTCAGGCAAAAGAAATGAGCAAAGATGATGATGCTAGACCATCAGTAAAAGTAAAGAGAAAGAAAAAGCAACACCAGCGCTGAAGGTTTTGTTTTCTTCACTACAAAAAGAATTTGAATCTGGTAATGAAAAATCAATTATGAAAGCGAGAAAATGCAAGAAAAACCGACAAATGAACAAATGTTGATTCTCAAAGCCCAAAAGATAAATGCTAAAACTAGTAAGTAAACCAGGAATAAATTTCAAACGATACTGGGATTTTACCAAAGAAATGATAGGTTCACAGATTATTATAGAAAATGAATTCCTATGAATAGCAGCGTATATACAAATGTATTAGATCTTTATTGAGACAAAGAATGGTAACTATGATAACGAAAGAGATATGAAAACGAATTGTACATTGACAAACTAGAAGTTGAAATGGGGAAAAAAAGAGTTTCAAATTCAAACGAATCTCAGTGAAGTATCTAGACCTAATCCTCTTAAACAAACAGATGAAGACTGACA